CTTTGAAGTAAAGGCGAATGATCAGAAGGGAAGTTGCTGGGCCTGGTGTCTGGGAAAGCTCTTTACAGGATAACGACTCCTTTTGCACCCCACCCCCTCCTCTTCTCCCATCCTGCTTGGACAGTGGCTAGGGCTGGATTTCCAGTAGGGCCGAGGCTAGGCCTTAGTGTGCCTTTGTTAGAATTAGAAAAAAAAGACTTCCACTGTGAGCAGTCAATTAGAAAACAGCTCCTTGTGGGCAGAAGCCTGCCTGTGGGTGCTGGGCCTGGCTTGGCAAGCAGAGCACAGACTGGGTTTCATTCAGTTCCCATTCAATACCTCAGCCGGGAGCTTTGAGCAGTACACGAACTGCACCACTGTCCATGGCAGCCCTGATTTTGGATTTAGGAGGCAACCCTGAGAATGTAAAGCACTTGCTGGAGCCAGATCCAAAAGATAAAAAAAGCCTGGACCCGGGGATCCCTGGGTGGCTCAGCGGTTTAGCGCCTGCCTTCGGCCCAGGGTGTGATCCTGGAAACCGGGGATTGAGTCCCACATTGGGCTCCCTGCATGGAGCCTGCTTCTCCCTCTGCCTGTGTCTCTGCCTTTCAATCTCTCTGTGTCTCTCATGAATAAATAAATAAAATCTTAAAAAAAAAAAAAGCCTGGACCCTTCAGAAGGGTGGAGCCTCTATACCAACCTTGGAAGAACTTCCTCCTAACTTTTCCTCCTTTTTTTTTCTTTTTTAAATATGTTATTTATTTATTCATGAGCGACATACAGAGAGAGGCACAGACACAGGCAGATGCGGGACTTGATCCCAGGACCCCAAGATCAGGACCTGAGCCAAAGGCAGATGCTCAACTGCGGAGCCACCCAGGCATCCCTCCTCTGTTTTGGTGTTTTTTAAAAAAATAATCTCCATAGTTTATTTTGAAATGACTTCAAAGTTACAGGAAGGTTGCAAAAACCATACAAAGAACTCCCCTTCACCCAGACTGGTCTCGTGTTAACATTGTATTTCATTTACTCCACTACCCACCTCTCCCTCGGCCCTTGGTCCTCCTCTTTCCCTATGTAGGTACCAGCTCATCACTCCTGTTCTTTTTATGAATCGCTTGACAGCAGCTGGCAGGCAAAACGACGCCCATTGTGCCTAAATGCTCGGGCGTGTGTATCTCCAACACAAGGACACCTGCCAAAGCACCTCGGCGTTCGTAAATAAAACATAACACTCCCATCCAGAAGTCAGTTACGTTTGGTTTTGGGTTATAATTAATCCCTTTTAATTCTCACTGCTACTCCCCTTGACCCTAAAACTCATGCGGGGCCCTGGAAAGATCACACCAAGCTCCATCTTGCCCAAGCTTGCCCGTGCTCTCTGCCCCAACCACGGGGGTCCCCCTTCGATTCTGCAAGCTTGCCAAGCACCTCTCAGCCTTGGGACGTTTTTCCTTCCAACTGAGGTAAAACGCACATAACAAAACGCACCACTTTAAAAACGAACAATTCAGGGTCATTTAGTAAGTTCACGCTGTTGTGCAACCATCACTGCCATCTAGTTCCAAAACATTTGCCTCGCCCGTAAAGGAAGCCCTGTGCCCGGCTAGGCAGCTCCCGAGCAGCGACCCATGGACAGATGTGTCTACGGATTTCTGCCTTCTGGACACTTCATATAAATGGAACCCACGTGCCTCAGAGCCTTGCAGCAGCTATTTCTTCTCCCCACATGCTTTTCCCTCCTCCATGCTGACTCACCCCTTAGGAATTCACTTCACCAGCTCTTTCTTTTTCTTTCTTTCTTTCTTTCTTTCTTTCTTTCTTTCTTTCTTTCTTTCTTTCTTTCAAGATTTTATTTATTTATTCATGAGAGACACAGAGAGAAAGAGAGGCAGAGATATAGGCAGAGGGAGAAGCAGGCTCCATGCAGGGAGCCCGATGTGGGACTTGATCCCAGGACCCCGGGATCACGACCTGAGCCAAAAACAGTTGCTCAACCTCTGAGCCACCGAGGTGTCCCTCACCAGCGCTTCCTTAGGCAGCTTTCTTGGCGCTTCCCTGAGGTCAAATCCCCCCAACCTTTTACACCTTCAGGAAACCCCCAAGTGGCCCTTGGTGTTTTTGCACAATTTTAATTACTGTGCGGTGGTTTCATTCATATCTCCTGTGGTTCGATTATACAGTTATTTAGGCAGGAACATGTCGGCTTTATCACTGGATGCCGAGGCCTAGCCCAGAATCTGGCATGCAGTAGGGGTTCAGTGATTTTTTTGTTTGTTTGTTTGTTTGTGAATTGACTGAGTGAACGAGCACCCTTTACAGAGAAGCCCGCTTGGTTCCCCCGGGCCGGTGGGCTGGTGACCTGGGGGGCCCCACCCTGCCCCCCTACATGCCCATACATGGACACGATCAGCACAGCGCTGGTCGCCGTCTGTGAGGTCCAGGTCCCCTGCGACCTCACAATGCCCAGGGCCCTCCCTGTGTCTATAAGAGGCCGAGGGGTCAGCCCCCCGGCTCACAGCCCACGAAGTTCCACCTGCTCACAGGTTGGCTGGCTCAACCAAGGTGGTCCCCCTGCTCTGAGCATCCGGGCCGGATCCATCCAGCGCCATGGCCAGATACCGATGCTGCCGCAGCCAAAGCCGGAGCAGATGCCGCCGCCGGAGACGCAGATGCCGCAGACGAAGGAGGCGATGTTGTCGGAGGCGGAGAAGGAGAGGTGGGGGGGGCCTGCTCCGTGGGGCTGGGGGTGGTGGGGTGCTCCAGGGTGCAGCTGGGGGGGCCCCTGCCGAGCTGATCTCCAGCCGGCCTCTCCCCGCAGTGTGCTGCCGCCGCTACACCGTGGTGCGCTGTAGGAGAAGATGAATGAACGCCCAGACTCGCCAGCCCACCGCACTCCTGCTGCGCAACCACCAGCCAAGACCCCCCTGCCGCCTCCTGAACATGCCACCCGCTCGATGAAGTGAACAGGAGCCTGCTAACGAACAATGCCGCCTGTCAATAAATGATGAAAAAATCACCCTTCTCGTCTGTTTGCCTTGACGGGGCTCGGGGTGGCGGGAGGGCTCTCGGGGAAGAGGGCACACAAGTGCCCGTGGTCACTGGATCACTGGATCTTGTTCCACTCTCTGCTCCGCTCTGGTCACAACCCGAATCTGCACCACCACCCAGCACCCCTGATCCCACCCACCATCCCTTTGTGACCCTGACCCCGGGGCCTCTGAGGCCTCTGCACTGTGCTCCATGGCTTTCTGTGCACGGCTGGAAACGGGCCACGGAAACTGGCTCTGGGCTGGCTCCCCCCCCCCCCCGCCCCCTCCACCGTCCGCCGACCCTGGGAGAACCAAGGAAAGCAGCAGCTCAAACTCCAGGTTTATCTAAATCCCACTTCTCTGCAAAGTGTCCACCTAGGTTTCTGCCCCCGCATAGTCCTCTAGCAGCCCTGGAGGCCTGAGCACTGTGACGGTGCCTTGCCCGGGAGTGGAGCTGAACACACCTCCCCAGCTGAGAAAACGAGGTGACTTGTCCGTCTCCTCTGCCCCTCAGCCATGGAGGTGGTTCATGAGACTTTTGGAAACTTGGAGCTAAGTAGACCCCAGAGAGCGCATCAATTATCATCACATAGTGGCAGAGAGAGCCCAGGGCAACTCGTGCGTGACTGGGAACTCCGTGACCCGGTACCCCAAAGTGACAGGGCTACTTAGCACTTCTCATTTAAGCACTTCTCATTTATTGAGCACCATGCGGTCATCACCTCCAGGCTTCGTGCTGACCTTGAGAGACAGGTATACATGATCCTGTCTTTTCAGGTAAGGACATGGAATGGGACTGGACCCGCCTGCATGACCCCAATCACTAGATGGCTTCCTGTCACCCAAACGGCAGGATGGCTGGACACAGACCCTCCTCTCCCCCGCCCTGGGGCAGGCTTTTACAAATAGATCAAAGTCTAGTTCTAGAAGCTTCTGACTCAGCAGCATCTGGGGGCGATCCCTGGGCATCCGTATTTTTAATAAGTGCTACCCCCAAGGTCACTAATAACAGCACATGAGCACTAGGGAAGAATTTTAAGCCCCTCTGTTTTAGTTTATTGCCGCTTTAACAAATTAGCCCAAACTTTGTTGCTTAAAACCCAAATTTATTGGTTTTGCAGGGTCAGAATTCCAAAATGATCTAAAATCCAGGTGTGGGCAGGGCTGTGTTTCTAGAGGCTCCAAGGGAAAATAACCGGTTTCCTTGTCTTTCCCAGTGCCTTGAGGCTAGACCTGCATTCCCTGACTCACGGCCCTTGTGGGACCACACTGGCCCCACCCAGAATAATCCAGGATGATCTTCCCATCGCACATCCAGAAAGTCCCCTTGTACCTCAGGTAACATCCATGAGGAAGTTCGTTTGGTTGCTCCGATTCAGATTCTGGGTTTTAATGGGATCTTCAAAGTAGAGTGAGACCCAGGAGATCTGATGGCATGTTTGGAGGGTGACACACAGATTGACACCCAGCCTAGCCCAAGCATCACACTACCTCTTTAAGCCCGCTCTCTCCACGGAAAATAGGAATTCTCACAGGGAGGAGTGAAGGAGTGAATGGATGGAAAGTAAATGAACCAATGTCTGGCATACGCTGACATGCGGGCAACCCGTTTAAAACCCCAGATCACGGCACGGCACCAAGGTGGTGAGGAAGCGTCAGAAAGGACTGTGTGAATTCACACCAGCTGAGCCACGGACTTGGATTTGGACCAGAAAAAGGTGGCAATGTTCTTGTGGCTACAAGGGACCAGGGACACATCTTCTAGGCGAGGCAAAGCTGCTGCATGGCTATGGGGGGGGGGGGGGAACAATGGTGGGGTGGGGCCACTGAGTCATAGTGGGGGGCCCCCTTTATATACATGTTCCCAAAGAGCGGCTAGCAGACCAGACCAACATCAACAGCAAGTGCAGGTGGGCAGGCCTCAGCCCTCCTCCCCCACCCCAAGGCCAGCTGCAGCCTCAGCCTCCGCCACCTGCCCCGCCAGCACGATGGTCCGATGCCGCGGGAGGAGTCCTAGCGAACATCCACAGCATGGGCATGAGCAGCAGCAACAGTGCCAGGAGCAGGAGGAGGAGCAGGCCGGGAACCCCGAGGACATCCCCACGGCCGAAGGAAGGACCAACAAAGACTATCACTACAGACACAGGCACTGCTCCCGGAGGCGACGGTACAGGGTCCACCGGAGGCGGCGACACTCCTGCCGGAGGCGCCGCAGAAGGGCCTGCAGGCACAGGAGACATCACCGAGGTCCAGCTGGTCCCCAGCCCTGCCCCTCGAGGCCCCCAGCCCCATCCCCACAGCCCCCCAACCAGAACTCTTTCCCAACAGGCTCCAGAAGGGTCAGGAGGAGGAGATACAGGAGGTGCCACTAAACCTTCCCAGGCCCATTGGCACCCCTGGCTGGAAATAAGGAAAAGTTACCTGCCGAAGAACCACCTCACGAGACAACGCGATCCCCTGACCTGGGATGCCCAAGCCCCGAGTTTGCAAGGAGCCCACAAAATTGTGACTAAAATGAGCCCAAGTCATCTGCCAAATAAAGCTTGAGATAATACACTTGCTGTCGGGGTCCCCTTTGGGCAAAATGGCACAGAGACTATATACGAATAAATCCTGTACCATGCTGGCATGTCACCCTGTGACCCTATGGGTGTCCTCGTCACCCAGAGCCGGGGTTTCATGCTGCCCCTTGCTACTCTGCCTTAATGGATATTCAGGGATGCTGGGTAACTGGGGATAGTGTGAGTTGTACAGAGATGGATGGCAGGTCTGGTGTGCTCCAGCAAGAACAAGGCCAGGATGGAGGGAATCAAAGTCCAGCCAGGGTAATGCAGGGCCTTGTAGACCAAGCGTTTGAGGCCCTACATTACCACAAGCCTTTAGGGCCCTGTTGGTAGGGCCCTGCTCCCTCTGGAGGCTCTAGGGCAGAACCTATTTCTGCCTCTGAAGCTCCTCCTGAGTGAAATTCCCTTGCCTCTCTTCTAAGGACACTACTGAGTGCAGTTAGGGCCCACCCAGACAATCCAGGCAAGTCTCCCCACCTCAAGAGCCCTGGAGGAGGGTCCTTATTCAGCTAAAGATTTGGGGCAGAAAATTGGCAGGAATCCATTTTCCATCCCAAGTGCTAAGAAAGGACTGATTGTGTGGTACGGGCAGGGGTAAAGAGACCTGTGACCCCTCCCTGGGATCGAGTCCCACATCGGGCTCCCCACAGGGAGCTTCTTCCTCTGTGACTCTGCCTCTGTCTCTCATTAATAAATACATAAAAAATCTTAAAAAAAAAAAAAAAAGAGAGAGAGAGAGAGACCTGTGACCCAAAGAGTTAGTAGGGTTTTTTTTTTTTTCCTAAGAGCATAGCTTAATATACATAGGGTGCAAGTTTTAAGTGCACCTGTGTAGCCTCCCCCCACTCACCCTCTTCCTGGGCCCCAGGCCAAGAAATCAGATGTGTCCCGGCTCTCCCTTCCCTCATGCCAACTCCCCACTCCCCAAAAGTAGCCACTCTTCTGACCCATCTTCACATACTGTCAACAGCTCTCTTGGGCTGGGTATTTCTAGAATGTGGGGAGGAGTCTATGTGCTCTCCTGCTTCTGGAAATCCTATCCCCAACTGCCATCTCAGCTAAAGGGGGAGGGGGGGGACTTTTGCCAGCACAAAGGAGGCCTGGTGGAGGAGGCAACATGGCAAGGCGAGGCAGCTGGCCTGGAATTCTGACTGGGCCCCAGCCTGCAGGTGGTGGGAGCTCAGGGGGGCTGCTGGCAGCCCAGGTTTGAGTCAGATGTTGGCCTGGGGCTCAGGTATCCAAGGGTGGGGGTGGGGGCTCCAGGGGCCCCTTTGTGATGTCAGCACCCTGCCTACTGTCCTCACTGCCCACCACTCCCCGCCCAGTGGCCTTCCCTCCCAGTCTGGAGAGGCAGCCAGAGCTGGCGATGGGCTCCCATTGTGCCAAGCTCGGCACAGGCCATAGCCGGGGCCACGAATCCTCCATGAAGAAGCTCATGGCCTGCATGGGTCAGGATAACTTCTCCTTGTCATCAGAAGGCGAGGAAGAGGAGGAGGGAGAGGAGGAGGAGGAGGAGGAAGAGGAGGAGCTCCCGGTGCAGGGCAAGCTGCTGCTGATGGAGCCCGAGCGGCAGGAGGAGGAGGGCGCCAAGGAAGACCCCGTGGCCCAGCAGAGCCCCGAGCCCAAGCAGACGCACTCCTGACCCACGACAGTGGCCCAGGAAGACGTTCCTGCCACTGTTCCAGCGAGAAGAACTTTCAGAAAAGAGTCAATAAAAAGTCTCCAAGGACTTCTCGCCTCCTGTGGTGTTGCATGGGCGCACGCGCGTGTGCGTGTGCGCATGTGTGTGTGTTTCGGGAGGGTTGGAGAGCAGCGGTCCGCCACCCCTGATCCTGCTGTCCAGCCAGAAGTTCTCACAGGGCCCACCCCGTGACTTCTCAGCCACCCTCCCCTGCTTTTGGGGGCGGGGAATGTGGTAGCCAGGGCTGGGGGTCAGCTCGTCCTGCCTGTGGGGGGCAGGGGAAGTGGGAGATTCCTCTCTGGGTCTGGGCAGGTGCAGGCGGAAAGCACCCAAAGGGCCAGCGAGCACAGACCTGGGCTCAAATCTCTTTCTGCTAGTTGTGTGACCTTGAGCAAGTCCCAGTCTGTCTCTGAGCCTCAGCCTGGCCCTTCCCTGTTGAAGGGTGAGATTAACTGTGACCACAGGCTAATCGTTTGGGAGAAGTACCTGCAGGAGTGGGTGGGATCAGGCCTGGCAGGCAGTGAGTGTGTAAGACAGGAAGTGTTGCTGGGGTCACGGTGGCTGCACCTGTCACACTGGCCCTGGTTTGAGGGGCAGAGCTTACGGAAGGGTCTGGAGTCCTCTGCTACTATCTTCACACCCAAGGTGACCATCTGTGCCCTGCCCCCTGCTCCCTGCCCCCAGAGGCTGACTTCTGGTTTATGAAGGGGTCCAGCTGCCACTGCCCTCATCACAGCAACAGGCAGAGGGATCCCAGAGAAACTGCCAGGTCCAGATGCAGAACCCAGGCCGCTGGCTGGTGTCTGCTTACTCCGGCCTTCAGGAAGCTTCGACTTCGGAACGTGTCTCTTGCCCTTCCTGCCCTGGCTTCCTTAACCCTTCTCTTCCCAAAAGGAAGGACAAATGCGTTCACCCCCACTTCCCTCAGTCCCCCAAGGACCAGCCATCCGGGCCCGAGAAGGGTCCTGATCAGGGCTGCTGGGGGTTACAGTATTTCCAGGGGAGTCTCAGGTTCTCTGGGAGCAGATGTGAGGGTAGGGAGTAGCCTCGAGTTCCTCAAAGGGGAGGCTGCTGCTGACGCCTGCAGAGGGCGAGTGACGTCGGAAGGAAGAGGCCCCGCTGTAACCTGGTGGGTCAGTGGGGTCCTTCTGTCCACCTGCCCCATGGTCTTCCTGGGAAACCTCTGTCGAGCCCCTGCTGTGCACCAGGCACGATGGGCCCTGAGATGAATAAAGCACAGTCTCTGTCCCACTATGCACTCAAGGGTGGGGGTGTGGGGGGTCAGCCGTGGAGGGTCGGTGGGAGGGTGCGGGGTAGGGGGGAGAAGGTGAGAAGATGGGAGGGGTGGGGGAGGGTGGGAGAGGGTGGGCGAGCTGGCCCAGAAACCCAGTCTTCACATAGTGGCCCAGCACTGACTACCACCCCCCACCAGCCCCACGGAGCCCACACAAGGCAGAGCCATTAGGACAGAGCCACCTGTGCCCTCTGTGATCCCCATGGACCCTGTAGGGACCGGAAGGCAAGAACGGAAGGGGCCAGACCTGGATTTGAATCCTGGCTCTGCCACCAATCAGCTGTGGGACTCTGGGCTGGTCACTCCACCTCTCTGGGCCTGCTTCCCCTTTGGAACATCTAATAATCACACCTACTTCCCAGGGTGCATTAGTTTCTCAGGGCTGCTAGAACAAATTATCACAGATTTGCTGGCGTAAGGCAACAGAGGTTTATTCTATCACAGTCTAGAGGCAAAGAAGTGTGAGATGAAGGCACCAGCAGGGCCACGCTCCCTCGGGAGGTCCTGGGGGAGAATCCTGCCTGCCTTGACCAGTTCACGGTGGCCCCGGGCCCTCCTCGGCTGATGGCCCTGTCACTCTAATCTCTGCCTCTGTCCTCTCACAAGGACACCTGTCTATGGGCGTGGGGGCCCACCTGGATGCTCTCGAGATCCTTCATCTACTTAAAGATCCTCTTTCCAGATATGCCCACTGTGATGGGCGCCAGGGGTTGGGACACGGATGTAGCTTTTGGGGGCCACCGTCCAGCCCACCACACGGGGTCACTGGGAGGCTCCAGGGCAGAGCTGCCTACACGGGGTTGGGCCCGGAGGCCAGCCGCACAGAAGTGCTCGGGAAATGAGAGCCGTGTCTGCCCTGCCTGGTGGGACGTGCTTAGCACCCACCTACAACAAAAGCAGCCTCAAAACCAGAGGCAGAGCAGCGCATGAGCAATGGAGAGAAGCAGAGGTTGGCTGGGGGAGGGGAGGGAAGTCCATGGTGGGGCCGGTGGGAGACACAGGTGCAAGAGGCCAGGAGCTAGGCCCAGGGGCTTCGGACAAGTGTGGGGGGAGCTGTGGCGGCTGCACACAGAGCGCTGGATGGGGGCGCTCTGACAGGGCCACGTGTAGACGCAGGAGCTGGGACAGCTGAGCAGGGCCAGGGTGCGTGACCAGGACGGCGGGGCTCCACCCGCAGGGAGGGGAGCAGGCAGGAATCAGGAGAAAGGCAGGCTCTCGGGGGCTCCTGGGGCTTGCCGGGCATCTGGGGCTCAGAAGGATACCCACGAAGGAAGGAACGATGTCCCTTTGGTGGATAAGGAAACCGAGCCTTGAAAACCAAAATACTCCACCCAAGACTGGACATGAGGGCAAACTGGGGTTGGAACCGAGCTCTAAGCACGCCAGCTTTAAATCTTGCGGAGGAGCTGAGCTCACCAGGAAGACCCCAGGCCCACCCAGCAGTCGGGCCGGTGACTCTTACTTATCCAACCATTCAACGCCTGCCCACCCACCGTCTGGCTCATGCACCAGTCATGCACCTGACCGGCCTGCCACCCACCTAGCTGGTCCACTGCGCTGGGGTCAGAGAGGTGTTCCTGGCTACCACGCGGCGTGGGGGAATGAAGAGATGCACTGGGGGTGCTTAGACAAAGGGTATTGAGCTCTTTCTGGGGGCTGGCCAGATGGAGATTCTCTCATTTAAATTGTCCAATGCCCAGGGCGGGTGGAGGGGGAATTCTTATTGTCTTTATTCTACAAGCCGGGGAACTGGGACGCGGAGAGGCGAATGCCCAGATGAGTGACCAGAGGGGAGAGGAAGCAGCAGATCTGGGATGTAGGCCCAGCTCCATCTGACCCAAGGCTCTCTACTTTTTTAAATTATAATTAATTAATTAATTAATTAATTAAAGATTTTCTCTATTTATTCAAGAGAGACACAGAGAGAGAAGCAGAGACACAGGCAGAGGGAGAAGCAGGTCCCATGCAGGGAGCCCAATGTAGGACTCGATCCTGGGACTCCGAGGATCACGCCCTGAGCTGAAGGCAGGCGCTTAACCACTGAGCCACCCAGGCATCCCGGGTCCCTACTTTTAACCAACAGATGGGACTCCCCCCAAGTGTCCCTGCAGATGGCCCCGCCCTGGGGTGAGGGTAACGGGCAGGGGCTTTGTCCTGGCCTGGCCACATCTGTTACACCCCAGTGGCCTGTGCCATCACAATCAGCCCCAACTATATAAGCAGAGGCCGCCAGGGCCTCTGTAGGGGTGTGCTGCAAGAGGAGGAGGAGGAGGAGGAGGAGGAGGCGGCCTCTGCCCCTCCAAGCGTGGCCTCCCATGGACACCAAGACACAGAGCCTGCCCATCACCCACACCCAGCACCACAGCAACTCCCGGCCCCAAGGCCACACCTGCAGCCAGTGCACCTGCAGCTCCCACTGCCAAACCTGCAGCCAGAGCTGCAGCTGGAGCCGGAGCTCCAGCCAGAGCCCAACTGGCCACCACAGCTCGTCTGGCCATCAGAGCCAGAGCCCGCACCCCACCCCGCCACCGAGGCACCAAAAACACACCATACACTCCCACCACTGTCCCCCTCGGCCCACCACCCATTCCTGCAGCTACCCCAAGAACAGAAAGAACTTCGAAGGAAAGGTGAACAAGAGGAAAGTGGCCAAGAGGAGCCAGCAGGTGTATAAAACGAAGAGGCGGAACTCAGGTATCTTTCAAGCAGGTGGGGAAGGGGCCGCAAGGTCCTCCCATGCCCAGGTGAGGGGGAGCAGCCCACCTGCGGTAGTGAGACAAAGGCTGCATGAGCCTGCGAGCCAAAGCACAGAGGAGCCATAGGCCAGGGTGACCAGGGAGCTGTACAGATGATGCACTGATGGACCAGTTCTTGAAATGAATTGGAGCGGGTTGATTGGGAGGGTGGACACACTACGGATTAGCTTAGATGGAAGCATGGATGGGTGGATGAGAGGCTGGATGGGTAAGTCATTAGAAGGTTGGTTGGTAGAGGGATGGGTGACAGAAGGGTTAGGTGGTTGGTTGAGGCAGCAGAGGAAAGTGGGAGGGAGGGTTAGGTGGTTGGTTGAGGCAGCAGAGGAAAGTGGGAGGGAGGGTTAGGTGGTTGGTTGAGGCAGCAGAGGAAAGTGGGAGGGAGGGTTGAGCATCTACTGAACAACTGGAAAGCAGAATGGATGTTGTATGGTGAGTAATGGATTGATGTGCTCATAGGGTAACAAAGCAGTCCTTTGAACCAATGGTTGATCAGATTAGTTGGCTGTGGTAGGAGGGATGTGGTTGGTGAATGGGTGCTGAATTGGTTGGACATAGTTGGGACAGCTGAAGGTAGGAGGATCGATGAGAGGATGGCTGAACTGGTTAAACGATGATTGGGTAGGTGGGTGGACGATCAGATTAGTGGATGGATAAATGACGGGATGGTTAACCTCGATGGATGAATGCAATGGATGGACGCACAGGTGTTTGGACAGAATGAATGGGCAGCCTGGACCTAGTTTAATGAAGTCATGATGGATAAATGGATGGACTAGGTGAATTCACGGATAGGTGGGTGATAAATGGGAAAAATGGATGGATTCGCAGAAGACCCTTTTGATCCTGCCCGTCTAAGAAGCTCTATCTCCACACCACATATTTAGTTACAAATGGGTTCAAACCCCAAAGAAGGAAGCGAGTGCATGAAGCATTTTGCTACTAAAAGTCCCTGTCCCATTCCCATCCCTTAGGGCGGAAATAGAACTGAGAAGGCACCCCATGGCTTGTTCCTGTGTTGGTTTCACCCAAGTAAGAAGGGCCATCACGCATGGAAGGCTAGAAGGAAGTCCACCTTTGTGCAGGAACATGTTACTACAGTAATTTCTATGCAACATTGATTAAAGCTTGTACATCGGACAACTATTCCTTGAGTGGGCATTTTGATTTCACTAACGGGGTCACGTGTTTGGGGGCCTGGTGTGGAAGCCAGAAGCAGGGAAGAGGCTGTGTAAGGGGCAGGGGTGTGGCTTGTGATGGGACCTCGTGCAGGTGTAAGGAGCCAATGCCAGCACAGGAGGAGAAATGGATGTGGACTGGAGACCCCAAGAAGCCTTCGAAGCAGACAGGCAGGCCCCTGCTTGGGCCGAGCCCTCCTTTGCCCTTTGTTTCCATCTTGGTGCACACAAGTGTGTACACACACATATGGGATGCCCATAGGCCCCCACACTGCACTGTCCTGTGACCCACGTGCAGTACCCCAGCGGGGAGGGGGGTTCGGGATGTGCATTTTGAAGTCCCGACCACCCTGGCTCTTGTTTCTCTGCTGTGATGCTGAGCTGGTGATCAGCCTCTCTGAACCTCACTGTTCCAACTTTTACTAAGGGGCCAGGGGTGTTCTGGCGCTGTGCTAGGCTCTGGAGACACAGAGGGCACACAAGGGAAAGAGACACAAGCAAGATACACAAACACAGAAACCAACCCACGATCTGCTAGTCACAATCCAGTTGTATCAAGGGAGCAAGGTTCATATAATGCAGGGCAACCATGGACCCACAGCCTTCTCATCTGTAAAATGGGTGCTCTTGGTGGATGGCTGGGAGGGCTCAAAGAGGTGGTGGGCATGAAGGCCTGGGTAGGATAGGTAGGCCTGGTGCTCTGCGCAGAGAAGGCACTCTGCAATTCCTATGGCATGAAGTACCAGACAGTGGGAATGGGTTGGTTCCCCTTGTAAATCACCAAGCCTCTTGGGGTCAGACCCAAGTTCCTAGCTGGGGGAACTCACATTAGCCCTGTTTCCCCCAAGAACTCCCCTCATGCCTACCGGGGTCACATGGATGCTTGCTATTCCTGGTATGTCCACGGATGCTTGCTTCTGTGTTTCATTTGGCATTTAGGGTTAGTGGAATGGGGTGAGACAGGTGGAAGGGGACAGGGGTGGAAGCAATGGGGGTGTCCGCAGTGCAGGGAAGGGGACCGGACGCCCAGGGAGCCTCGGGAAGGTGGTCATTTCAGAACCTATGTATCAACCTGAGACTAATATCCTGCCATAGTCAATCACGGGTAGTCTGATCCGAGCTGGGACGCGCGTGCCCCGGGCCGCAGCAGGAGGTGGAGAGTCCCCATCCCATCTCTGCTGTGTGGCCTCAGCACCCAGCTTTTTTCCCTTTCTGAGCTCCTCTCTCATCTCCCAAGGTGTCACTGGGGCTGGGGGTGGGGGGAGTCCCTGAGATGATGCACACTTGAGCGTCTGGCAGAGGGCCTGGTGCAGTCTGCGCTTCCTGGGTCCCTGAGAGGTTCCAGGTGGGCACCACGCACCTATGAGAGGATGTGGGGAAGGTTCCCATGTGGGCTGGGGAAATCGCCATGCACTGAGCACCCAGGAGGTGCCAGATGCTTTGACATAAATGTTTCCACTGAATCCACACACCGAAGGTGGGCGGCACCACTGCTCCCACTTTACAGACGAAGAAGCTAAGCCTCAGGGGTGAAATGGTTTGAAAAGGTCGTCTGGAGGGCAAGTCTGAGGTCAAACATTCACGCTTTGCCCAAAACCACCTGGTTTCCTAGTAAAAACGTAAGGCCAAGGGGCACCTGGGTGGCTCAATTGGTTAAGCATCCGACTCATGATCTCAGGGTCTTGAGTTCAAGCCCCACTTTTAAAAAAGACAATAAATAAAACAAACAAATAAAATGTAAGCCCAGATTATGCCGTGATAGTCCCCTGACACCTCAGCACAAGAGAGTCCGGGAAAAAGAAAAAAAAAAAAAAAGAGAGAGTCCGGGAAGCCCTTCTGGGGAGCACATTTTAAGGGAGCAGAAAGACACAGAGGGTCAGACCATAAGGTCAGCGACTTTGAGCCCTACTCACCAAAGGACCTCCCTATTCCTGGGCAGTGTCCTTTAGTAATATGATCGCTGAAGGCAGGAGATCTTCTACTGTGGAGAGACCATCTCTGTAACAGAGGAAGTGAACCGGGAAGCAGACAGGCTGTGTCACATGGACCCACCCTTAACCCCACTTGCCCCTGAAACCGACGCTCAGGAAAAACTTGCACAGGTACGCGCAGGTAACCAGTCCCCTAGACAAAGAAGTCATCATTCAAGCCAAGCCCGCTCAGAGCCAGAGAGCTAGGTTTACATGTGGACTCCTACACACACACACACACACACACACACACACACGCCTCCCCTCCCACACTGCAACACACGCCAGCCGGCGGCTCACAGGCACACAACCCCCTCACGCAGTCAGTCACCCGATGACAAGAGGAAAAACATCAAACCACAGATTCATTCTTTCACTTGCTTGGTTTCGGGTGGGGAGGCAATAGTTTGGGGGCAAGTCTGCTGGAAACCCAAATTCAGGAAACAGAAACAGATGCTAAATTCAGCCACCAAGAGGCCATGCAGACGCGGGGAGATGTCATCTGGGTGGGATGTCGGTGGGGGAAGGGTGGCCTGGGAAACAGTGGGATGCAGCCGCACCTGCGGTGCGACCCCCCCCGCCCCACTGCCCCCAGGGGAATGCCATTCCTATGGGCCTCAGTGACCACTGAGGGGACCCCGGCAGTCCTGGGGGGGGCCCAGTGGGGGGTGGAAGCAGATCTGGAGAGGCTGCAGGTCCTGGGCTGAGATGCCCACTTGAGGTGGGACTCCGGAGGGAAAAAAAGCCCACGCTCCGGAGCCGTACGGACCCAGATTCTGTTCCCAGCTCCCTTGCTGGATGACCCCAGGCCTGGCTCTTAACCTCTCCGAGCTCCGAGGAGCGGTCCGAGGGGCCCCCTTGTTTGCGACGGCTGCATCCCCAGGGCTCAGCACGGAGCCTGGTCCATATGAGGACCTCGGGGAACATCTGTCGACTCAGTCAGTGAGCAGGCCTTCACGCGACACGGAGGTGCCACCTATGCCCCCACTGCACGGGCATAAATGGAAAAGGGTGGATTGTAACAAGTGCCGGCGAGGGTGCCGGGGAGCAGGTACTGTCCCTGCGGCTGCTGAGGAGGGGAACCGTGCACAGACACGCTGGCAGGCAACCAGGCGGCCCCTGCTAACCTTTAAAGTGTGCAGAGTGTTGGGGCACCTGGGGGGTTTAACTGTCTGACTCTTGATTTCAGCCCGGGTCATGATCTCGGGGTTGGGGGATCGAGCCCCATGTCAGGTTCCACGTGGAGTATGGAACCTGCTTGGGATGCTCTCTCTCCCTCTCCCTCTGCCTCCCTGCACCACCCCCCATGCCCGTGCACGTGCTCATGCGTGAGCTCTCTTTCTCTTAAAAAAAAAAAAGTGTACAAAGTGTTTCTCACACACGGGTACCAAGGGCCAAAAGTTGGAAACAACCCACGTGTCCATCCACAGGGGATGCTATCTATGAACGCACTGGGGTCAGAGGGAAATACTACCCAGTTTTGTTGTTTTTAAAGAATAGGAGTTGATCTCTCTCTCTCTCTCCTCTCTCTCTCTCTCTCTCTCTCTCTCTCTCAATCTCTCTCTCTCCCTCCCCCCAGATCACCAGCAGTGAAAAGGACAAGATGGAGAAGGAGGTAGAGGCAAACAGTCTGCACGGCAACACCGTGTTTTCACGGGGCCGGGCTCGGGGTGGGGAACGCAGCTATGTAAGTGCACAGAAAAAGAGCTGCGAGCACAGAGGCCAGGCCGGTGCCTGCAGTTACGTCCCGGGAGGGGAAAGTACTTTATTTTATACGAGGAAATGAAAAAGGTAAATTAAGGAGGAAAAAAAAAAAAAGGAAAGTGCGTCCGTGAAGTATTCAGTAGGTGCTCAGCAAAGCTCTGTTGCCTCTGAAGAGAGGCGGAGAGGGGAGTGCTGTTTATAAACTCCGTGGCTGCAGCCCCCGTTACCTGCTCTCAGGTTGGTGGCCGCAGCCCCCTTTCTGGGCTCGCTGGGCAGGCCAGGTGGCCTAGAGGGTGCTCCCCAGAGGGCCTCCTCACCGCGGGGCAGGGAAAGGCCACGGCCAGCACCTGCCAGCCCTTCTTGCTCCCCTTAGCCGCGTGCCTGCCACGCTCACAGCCTCGAATGTGTGCCCCCAGGCCTTTGCCTGGGCTCTGCACGGCCAGGAGCATGCTCCCGTCTTGTCCCTTGGCCCAGAACCACTTGTCCCTTCAAATGCAGGTCGAGGAGCACCTCCTCCCAGAGTGTGCTCGGGGTCCTGCCGGCCTGGCCAGGGGTGGGTGAGGGGGG